CTTCCTGGGTCAGCTCTGTTCATGCTCAGGAAGACCTGGGGCAGGAGGGGGGGAGTTTCTGACCCTCGAGGAGAGGGAGGGGTGGCTTTTCCAGACCCTGGACTCTGATCCCCGTACAAGTGCCCTTTCCAAGGAGGGGCTTAGCCTCTGGGGGACTCCACAGCACCCTGGCCTCGGACCCACTGTTCCTGCCTTGAGCCCTTGCCCTTGTCCAATTTCTTGAGTTCCCAGCACGCTGGTTTCTATTTGTCCACCTGTGTGCTGTCCTTCCCCTACTGAGCCACCCAGCACCCAGCTCTCTGCTCAGCTGGAAGATCACCCATGCTTCCACTTGCGCCAATTCCCCATCATGATGCCCCTCCCCTGAAGGAGAAGCCACACCTCCTCCCACGCCCCACCCCAGGAGAGGCTGCCTCCCCAAACTGCTTCCTGGGCTGGGAGGATAAAAGGCTAGGACTGGGTTCAGGGCAGAGAGCTGCAGAGCCCTGTGGAGGTGAGGAGGCTGCCTGCTCACTCCTGCCCTCTCCTTCCCACACCCTGGGGTGGGGGCCTCTCCTCCTCACACAGGCCCTCTCCTGCCCCCCAAGATGCTGTGGCTGCTGTTGCTGACCCTCCTCTGCCTGGGGGCCTCTGTGCCCATGACCCCAGGTGAGTTCTTATCCCCTCCTGGTGCCCCCACCCTGTCCCTCAGCCTCTATCTGGTGTCTAGGAAGAAGTTCTGGGGTGGGGTGGGGACCTCATTCATATGTCTCTGTCTACCTCCTTCATGCCTGCACTTGGGGAGGCTCTGAGCAGGGGGCTGAGCTGAGCTCTGGGCTGGGAGGGCTGGATCCCTGATGACCCCTCACTCTGCCTCCCCAGTTCCGGACCTGGAAACCGAGCTCGTGGGCATTGTTGGGGGGCACGATGCCCCACCTGGGAAGTGGCCATGGCAGGTCAGCCTGTGGATCCCTGATATGAGAGGCCAGTGGATACCGCATTGTGGCGGTTCCCTGATCCATGAGCAGTGGGTGCTGACTGCTGCCCACTGTGTTGTAATGTGAGTGACTCCCCTGTAACTATGTGGCTCCCTGACAATGTTGGGGCATATGATGGGTGCTGTGGTGTTTCCTGGTGGAGTGATCAGAAAAGAGACTGAGGGCTTCCATTCCATCCCCACCCCACACACTGATTGCCCCCGAGGCTGTGTGAGTGAGGGTCTCTCTCGGCCGCTGGCAAGCTTCTTGTCTGCTTTCTCTCAGACCACGTGCTGGGCGTCTCCGTGTTCGCGTCCAAGTGGGACAAGTGAGGCTTGTCCAGAGTGACCCATTGCAGGAGGTGGCCAATGTCATCCCCCACCCCCACTTCAGACAAGGGAGCGACATCGCACTTCTCAAGCTGGTGGCCCCCGTGACGCTCTCTCCCACTGTCCAGCTGGTCACCCTCCCTTCTCCAGGACTCAGGGTCTTTCCAGGGACCAAGTGCTGGGTGACTGGCTGGGGAGATATCAATCACAACGGTAAGGGTCAGGAGCACTGGGGTCAGATGGGCATGGGGGCTCTGGGGGGCACAGTGAACGCTGGCACAGCATGAGCAGGGACTCCACAGCATGGCCCCCCTCAGGGAGGGCTATGAGTGAGGCTGGACTTGAGTGGTTCGCAGGGACACATTAAGGGACAGAGACGGGATGTGGAGAGAGGGAAGCTCTGGCCTCTCTCTGCACCAGGCCTTGCTCAGCCTTCTGGGCCCCTGTCCTCCCTGCATAGGGGGTGTGTGGGGGGGATAAGAAAGGAGGGGGAGAGGACTGAGGAAGGTGCTCACCGTCTCTGCTATCCATGCTCCAAGTCCAAGCTGACCTGGGGCCCCGACTCTGCATGTCTGGGGACACACTTGTTCTGATGGCCCAGTCACAATCCCACAGGGTTAAGGAAGCTCCCTCTTGGGCTCTCTCCTTAGCCTGGCCCACATTGAGTGTGGTTTTAAGTAGGGAAACTGAGGCCTAGAGTGTGTCTCCAGAACCCAGTACCTGGAGTTCTCAGGAAGAGAGCTTCATTCATGGGAAGTCACTGACAGACCCCTCAGACCCACCATCTTGGGCTTTCACTGATCCCCCGTCCCCCACTGCCCCCCAGTGCGGCTGCCCTGGAACAGGGCCCTGCAGGAGGTTCAGGTTCCCATCGTGGACTCTGGGAAGTGCCAGCAGATCTACCACAAGACCCACCTGGTCAGGGATGACATGCTCTGTGCTGGGACCTCTGGGCAGAACTTCTGCAGGGTGAGAGCCCACTCCTATCTTCTGTCCACTTGTCCTGCTTGCTGTCCTTGCTCAGAGCACCCACGGAGCCAGGGGGCATCATTTGTCTTTTCTATCCACAGGGCGACTCTGGGGGGCCTCTGGTCTG